ACTGTCCACTAAATTAACTCTAGCCTAGGTGACAAGGTGGGAATGCAGGTATCTCCCTAGGGAGGGGAAATGGAAGCAATCTCCTGGTGGTCTGAGGGCTGGTGGGATGGGAATTTGAGGGATCACGTTGGGTGTGGATGAGAGGGAGCATACTGAAAGAGATGACTGGAAAGGGGGTGCATTTCAGGGTAGGACAGAAACCTGATGCAGGAGAAACTTCCACAAATCTACAAGGGTGACCGCAGCTAAGACTCCTAGAATCCTGGCGATAGTGTATACATAGCTTTATCTGGCCATCTCCTGTGATCAGATTGGTGACTACCCCAATTGTCATCAGAGAGCCTTCATCAGTAACTGATGGAAACAGATGCAGAGACCCACAGCCAAACATTAGGCTGAGCTTGGGGAATCTTGCTGAAGGGAAGGAGGAAGGATTGTAGGAGTCAGAGGAATCAAGGACATCACAAAAACACTCACAGTAAAAAAACTAACCCAGCTCATGGGAACTCACAGAGTCTGAATCAACAGCCAGGGAGCCTGCATGGGACCGACCTGGGCCCTCTACATACATGTGACAGTGTGTAGCTTAGTCTTCTTGTGGGACTCCTAACAATGGGAGCAGAGCTAATGCTTTGGCTGCCTGGGAAGCTAACTTCATACTGGGTCACCTTGCTCACCCTTAACACAAGGGGCGGGGCTTTGTCTTACCAAACTTAATGCACCCTGCTTTGTGGCTTCACATGGAGGCCTGCCCGTTTCTGAGCAGGAACAAGGGAGGAGTGGATTGGGTGGTTAGATGGACTGGAGGTGAGGAAAGGAAGCTGCAGTCAGGATATAAAATGTTAAAATGAAATGAAAATGACTCAAGTTGACATATCATCAGCCAGCACAAACATCCTATATTTACAAAAGAAAATTACTTAAGATTAAAAGATGCCAAATAAATTAGCTTATATATTGTAATTAATATTTAAAGTCTACTGAAAATTTAAGCTTTGCTTAATCTTTAAAACATGTTATAAAGACCTTTGAGAGGTGGCTCAGCAGTTAAGAGCACTGATTGCTCTTCCAGCAGTCCTGAGTTCAATTCCAAGCAACCATATGGTGACTCACAACCATTTGGAGATCTGGTGCCCTCTTCTGGTGTGTAAGGATACATGCAGACAGAAAACTGCATGCGTAATAAATAAATGATTAGATAGATAGATCTTTGAAACATACAAAAAAAACCCCAGGGGAGGGATATATATATATATATATATATCACCTAATTGTGGCTTTCTCTCATGGAGGCTGCACCCCTGTCCTGGAGGTATATACTATCATTTTCCTATGCAATTCTCTGTTGAAGAACTTAGTAATAAATTCACTAACATCGCTTTGCTCTGGTTCACACTGAAGTTCTCTTCTGGGGCATAGATAAGGATATGGCTTTATGTAAGTACAAATCCCTAAAGGGGAAGAAATTCCTCAGGATTCTGTGGGTGTGCTCAGCTATATCTCCCTGGAGAGATCCTTCCTTTGGCTTCTCTGGATATTTCTGAAACTACTGGTGAGTTTGTCTTCATTTCTCTTCATCAACTCAGCCTTACTCCTCTGACTTCTATTTCTATCTTTCTCTTCTTCTTTGTTTTCTGGCTAGAGACCCACCAAGTATTCACTACATGTCTCCAGAAACCAGCTAGGAAACAATAAAGAACTTCCCTACACTTGACTTGGATCAGATAGAGGAGGACACAGCTTGCCTAGGAGGACATCACTAAGGGACTGACACCAGAGATGTTCTGAGCTGACCTTTGCCTTGACAAGAGCAGAAGAATCACCTACACCCTCTACAGCCCAGCTGGCTGTGGGATGAACCTAAGAAAGTTAATCTGGTTAGGAGATCCACTTTCAGATCCAGGCATTTAGGTGGCCATCTGGCAGCTTAAGAGGATTCTCGTCTTTTTCCATAGGTGCTAAGATTCTCCTGTCTGCCATCTCTTCCCCATAAGCTCCCAGGTGAATCTAAGGGTGACACACACAAGCAGGAGCCCCTGGAATCCTGGAAAGGGTGTCACATCCCCTGGAACTAGTTGCAGGTGTTCGTGAGCTGCCATGGGGGTGCCCTGCAGGAGCAGTAAGCAATGTTAACAGATCCACCATCTCTCCACCCCACAACTGTCCCTAGAAAGATTATAAGTGCCATGTACAAGGAGCCTGGGCAGCCTCTCTCCATGCACTGCCTTGCAACCTTCTGTGTCAGCCTCCAACCTTTCCTGATGAGGACTCTCTGTCTCTCGCCATGTTTATAGATTCCAAAAAATAATACTTGGGAATGGGGCTTCCAAAACATTGCAAAGCTGAAACTGAGTAACAGAATCCCCATGGTTTCTTTTGTACCCAGATGCTCTGTGCTTCTAAGCCTATCATATAACTTTGACAGGAACACATAATATGGGACCCTCAGAATGCTCCAACACTCCTAGAGGGAAATCACCCAAGCAGCAGTCAGAATGATAAGGCCAAAAATGCCAGTATAGGACGACCAGTGGTATCTAGTCCAGGAATGGAGAACTCAAAGGAAGCAGTCCCTTAGGTAAGGTGTTATGGGTCCAGCCAAGGGTCTACAGAAAGTGAGAGAAAATGTCTAAGGGTAAAAGAAACAAATCAGCTCACACAAAACTTCTCTTCAACATGTTTCTTTATTGTTCTACCTTTTTTTCTTATGCCTCTCTCCCAATTTGTCTGTCCTGTCTATAATTTCTAGGTTCTAATTCTGTCTCAATTCTAATCGCAATTTCAATTCTCTGCTACCTTCTTTTTCTTCTTCATTTTTCTATTCCTGCTGATTTCTGCCAGCTTCTTCCCTTGCTCTCTTTGCTCTCCCCAGCCTATAAAGACCCACGGCATCTTGCGGGTCTTCATCTGAAGGTCACATACAGTTTCTTAAGTAAATGGTAAGAAACAGTCATTCCAGCAACTCACAGTGCAGTAAGTCCAGATGGAAGACAAGAGCGCTTTCTTTCCGTTAACCCCCTAACTGGCGGGCTGCAAACGGCAACTGTAAGGGGAGAAGTCTCTTCTGTTATCTATAGAGGTGGACTTACAGGACTAAACTAGTGAGAGAAATAAGGAAATTGTGTGTGATATCCTACACTTTTGCGTGTATAAGACATCTTAAACATTTTGTGATTAGTGGTCGTAAAGACCAGGCTTTCTCGGGCTGGAGACTTTTTACTGAAGTGTCCTCAGAGGGAGTGCAGCTGTGTGAGCTGTAGGGACACGGGCAGAGAAGCCCATACAGCATTCGCCAAGGCACATTGACACTAAAAGCATTTTAAATATTTTTCTGTCCAGCATGTAACCCTACCATAGAAAGAGAAGCTTGTAACTCTATTTTGGGGCTATGCAATTAGTTTATATTTTGTAGCTAGCCCTGGAGAGTCAGGGAATCTTACCCCATGGTGTCTGAACAAGGACATAAAACTGAGGCTAGGAATCTGTGCAAATAGTTAATTATTGTTGCTGGTACTGCAATTAGGTTACTCTGCACTATTTACCTTGACTCAACAAGTCATACAGCTGGCTACACATGACCTAGTAAGTAACATTTTATTTTGGTAATAATTTATCTTAAAATACTAAATTTGATGTTATCAATATACCCCAAATGAATGCATGGGGGAAATTGTGCCCAGTAAATGATCTAATAATGCTGAACTGTGGGAAATAAATCCCAAGTTTGTACCAGAAGAGGTTAAGCTACATTAAGAAATTTACAGAAAACAAAACAAACAAAAAACAGCTACTTTACTCACAAGGCAGTAATACCAACGTGCGTTGCATCTTGGCCTAATCCCCCAAACAGAGTCCCTGACTCGGATGGGTTGACCTTGTGAAATGAGGCTGATTAATTAGTGAATGATTCTCCGGTTCATAGCAGTCTCAAGTCCAGGAATAGGGAACTCAAGGGAAGGAGTCCCTCAGGTGAGGTGTTATCGCGCACACCTTTAATCCCAGCACGCAGGAGGCAGAGGCAAGCAGAACTCTGTGAGCTTGAGGCCAGCCTGGCCTTCAGAGTAAGTTCCAGGAAAGTCAGAGCTTTGTAAATAGACCCTGTCTAAAATAAATTTACCCAGATTTTAAGGGAAAACAGAATAAAAGTCTATCTCATACTGTACTTGAATTTTTTCTATTTCTTTTAGGTATATGAATATAGAGAGATAACACAAGCCATGGGTAGTCAATCATCTTTTTCTGACAATTAGCCTTAGGCTATATTTTGTGTAATTGGGGACACTTTATAAGAGATGGTAAGAAAGATTTTTACATATAATTATACCATGCCTAATCCTGGTGAAAATTAAAACAATTAAATGGTGTGACCTAGAACCCAGCATCTCTAAAACTGAAGCATAGGAGTCTTTATTTTCCTTTATTTATTTTAGGTTATTAGGGATTAATTCAGGATCTCCCTGTTCCAGGGAAGGACTCTACACTGACACTCATCTCGGCCCTATTATAAACGGGTTCCTTATTTGTTGTGTGTCTCTGTGACAGTTATCCACTGTTCCTATAAAGCCAGTCCCACATAAAGCATGACATTCGAGAGTTCATTGTTGGACGAGCAGTGTAGCTCCACTGGGGGAATGCTTGCCTAGCATGCACCTGGATTCAGTACCCAGTGCTGTCCACATTGGGCAGGGTGTCACTTTCCTGTAACCCAAGAACTCGGGAGTCAGAGAATCAAGTATTGTATGGGACTCGTCCTTGGAAGACATGAACAAACATCTATTCATCCCCGATTGGGAACCAATGGCATGAAAGTTAAGCCACCAGAGAGGTCAGTCACAGGGTGGACAAGCAGCCACATAGCCAGGAGGGGAACTTTACGGGAGAATGAGGAAGCACCGAGTAGCAGGAAATCCTGTTCTACTCAGGCCTCGTCAGCATTCAGAAGCAAACTGAAAGAGAAGAAAAGGAAAAAGTTACACCTTTCTGAGTCAGGGCTCAGAGAGGCAGGCTGCTCCAGCAGAGCCTCATGCATGGCCCAGAGCATCTGCCCAGAAGAGGGAATTCTGGGAGGAAAAGTGCATCTCACTAAGGGAACAATTATTCCCCCTACCTCTTTTATATAGCTTCAGGGGGACCAGCCTTCCTGAGGAGTGGTCCTTAGCTATGTGCATGACTTACAGAGAAAGAGAGAGGCATGTCTGCATCAGCGAGAGTTTGTCATGGCTTACTGTAACCAGAGGAGAGGAAATAGCAGCCCTCACCAGTGAGTATGCCTGGGCTTTCTATGCTGTCTTCTGAAGGAGAAACCTCGTTCCTCACGACACCAGATCTCTGACAGTACTGTGTTGCATATGAAGGTACACTAGACCACTGCAGCATGGGGCTCTGGCAAGATTTACCCTTCCCCCAGTTTCCTCTGCCTTGCTAAAAACTGATAGATTGCACTCCTAAAGTTATCCAATAAGGCTTATTCCCATGTGACCACTTCCTCCTCCTGAGAGTGACTACTGAAGTCGGGTAATCAAAAGCCCCCTTCGGCCCACCTAATTAACATGTCCAATTAAAATTAAACCCTTCATTCTAACATGGATTTCTCCCCTTCATCTTTACAAACTTTCTCCAGACATACTGGGCAATAATTTCGGGGAGAAATCAAGGGCATGAAGATCTACTTCACAGCATTCAAACACATCGCAGGGTGAGTAGGGCTCTGGGGCTGGGCTCCCACAGCACTTTCCACCTGTGCCTGCTGCTGTCTAGAACCCTGGCCTGCGCCAGCCTACTCAGAGCTGGGATTCTCAGGCTTGGGTAAGACTGGACAGTCCTCCAGGAGGCAGGTGGAGAGGGACCTCCAACTTTCTGGTTCAGAGAGGATCACAGAGGCTGAAGGGTCCTTCTTCCACGAAGTTCAGTGGCCCTAGTGCCCCTTGGTGGTGACAGAAACTGCTTATGTGGTCTGCCAGATGTCCCTGTCTTCACAGGACATGGAATGTGCGGTTCACCCTGCCACTCTGGATCTGTGCTCTGCTCCAGAAAGGCCAGCCAATCCTAGGACAGGCCAGATCTTGACTGTTCTCACCAGTATCTGCCTCATGATATCTGTTGTTCTCCTAGATTGCCACAAAGGCCTTGTGCTACTCTTGCCAAGCTTGGTAAATGCAAGCACAGTCTCTGAGGGTAATGGAATTCCAGATGAACAATGGATAGTCTTTTAGTGTGTCTCCCGTGCAGTACTGAGGTTACCTTAATCCTGAAAACATTTGTTTGTTGTTGGGTGATAGGGAGAAGGTTGGGCCAATAAAGTGTTTGCTGTGTAAATATGACACCCTAAGTTTGGGTTCCCAGAATCCACGTGAAACTAAGAGCAGCAGCACAAGTTTGTAAGCTGTGGGAGCAGAGACAGGGAGACCCTGCTGTGCTTGCTGGCCAGAGTCTTACACAAAATTCAATTCCAGGTTCACTTGGAGACACTGACTAAAGAAAATGTGACAGAGGACACATCTCCCCCATGTACCACCAGAGAGCCATCTGTGCGGCCAGCTCTGCCACTGCAGTCCATTCTGAGCCTCAATCTTTGGGGTCTGCCCAGTTCAGTTTTCCCTCTGGACCTTCTCCCAAATGAGTCACCCCTAAATGAGTCAGCAGCCACACTGAGACCCCTCTGCTCAGACCAGTAGACCAGAGGTGGGCCTTCACCTAAGTGGCCTGACCATCTCTGGGACCAGCAGGACAGAATCTACTCTGCCTGGTGATGTCTGGTGGGAGCTGGGGGGCCCTGGCAGCTGTTCTACCAAGCAAAGAGGAGAGGTCCCCCTCTCCATGTCTTCTAGACTATTCCTAACACCAGACTTTATTGTTCTTGCTTGCTAAGATGCATCCTAAATCAGCCTCCACATGGAATGTAGGAAGGATATCCACTTCAGTTTAGATAAGTGATGTGAAATTTTTCTGTGTATATAGCCTAAGAATTTGCCTATTTATTTACTTTTTAGATATTTTTTATTATATAGGGGCATGCTTGTGGAGGCCAGAGGACAACTTGCTGAAGTTGTCTCTCTTTCCATCATGTAGGCTCTGGTAGCAACTTCAGACTGCCAAGCCTGGCAGCAAACCCTTAGCTGCTGAGCCATTCCAGGCCATCACATACTTATGGGAGTTGAATTGAGTCGGATACATATTATCTATCTGTCTGTCTGTCTGTCTGTCTATCTATCTACCATCTATCTATATATCTATCATCTATCTATCTACCAGATTGACCTTGAACTTCTTAATGGTGGGGTCTCCCTGCCTCAGCCTCCTGAGTGCTGACATTATGGGCATGAGCCACTATGGCAGGCTCCAGCCCTCTTTTTACTTTTTATTTTGAGACAGAGTTCCACTTAGTTTTCCAGGTTGACCTGAAGTGATTCTGTAGCCACACTGGTCTTGAGTTGTGATCCTCTTGTCCCCACCTCCTAAGATTACAGGTCTGGACCACAAACCAGGCTCCAAGCATTTCATTTTTAAAGTATAAGTATAGCTGAGTATGGTATTGCCTGCTGTAACCTTCCATCACTTGTGAGTATGAGATGGAACAATTCCAACCTTAAGGCTAGCCCGGGTTACATGGGGAGACTCTGTCTCACAAAACTGAAGACTGTAGACATAGCACGAAATTAAAAATACTTTTGCTGCCATTACTGGAATGTGCATATGCATGCACTTGTGTGAGCATGTGTGTGAGTGCATGCAGGTTACACATGCATGTGACTATGCAGAGTTCAGAGCAGAACTCCCAGTATCTTCCTGTACCTCTATCCACCTTATTGCCTGGCAATATGTCTCTCACTGAGATTCCAGCGTATTGCCTGGGCTGCTTGGCCAGAGTACTCTTGGGATCTACCTGCCTTTTTGCCTGCCATGCCCTGAACAGAGACACCCATAACCATTCTGGTTTTGTTTTTGCTTTGTTTTGTTTTTTAACCTCAGTGCTGGGTACCCCAACTCAGGTCCTCAGGTTTGTGGAGGAAGTGATCTTAGGGGACCTTCTCACCAGCTCCCCCACCTTATTTTTGAGGCAGGGTCAGTGAACCTGGAGTTTTCTGTTTGGGCTAGAATACCTCCACAAATCCATAGGATCCACTGTCCCTGACCCACGGAGCTGGAGCTCAGAGGGCACTGCCGCACCCATCTTTTATGTGGGTGTTGGAAGGCCTTGCTGGCTGGCCAGAGGCTGTAGTCTCTCATGGCCTGGCAGCTTTTCCCAAAAGCTTGGCTACATGGAGTCTCCCTCCCTCCAGCAAAGCTTCCTGCTCTCTACCTACCCTAATGTGGAGAATGTCCCTGGGTCCGGAGGACTGACCTTATCTGAAAGCTATCTCGAAGCTAGATGCCTGGTTTACCTTTAGTTTGACCCTTGGCACAGATTCCTGCTTGAAGACTTGTACTAGGAGATCTGTTATAGGACCCTACTGCCACATAGGAAGCCTTGTGACAAGACCATGGCACTTAATGCAAATCAGGGTTTGTCCCCAGGCTCCCAATCCTTTATATTCCTTATACTCTGGAATAAAGTTGAGCTGATTCACTGAAGTCCGTCTACTGGAGGCCTATCTCTGTCATACCCACTGCTGTCTGAACCCTGCTCCCTGCTTCTGCTCCCTCCACCCTCATGGACCAATGTGGCCAACAATCCTGAGGAAGAAGCAGAGCCACATGTGGGTACTGGAAATCCAAATCACCTAGGTACCCCAATACTCAGTTTTTAAAGGATAAGGATATGCTAAACATCATACAGGCCGAGACACCTTTAAGGAGTATTCATTGTTTATCTGCAGTTTGATTAACCCGGGAGGACTGTGCTCATATTTGCCAGACTTGACAACAACAAGTTCCTTCGGGTGCTGTAGGGGAAAGGCAGAGCCCTAGAGTGGACACTGGTGAGGACAGTGAAAATCTGGCCTGTCCCGGGGTTGGCTCTTTCTGGAGTAGAGCAAAGGTCCAGAGTGGCAGAGGAAACGGAGATGACGTCTGCACATTGGGTCTGCATCGCTCTCAGCTCATGGGGCAATTTCTGTCACTGCCAAGAGGCCCTAAAGCTACAAGAACCCTCTGGAAAAGGAGCCTTCCAGCTTATGTGTTCCTTTCTGAACCAGAAGTCCTTCCCCCACCTGCTTCCCTGAAGACCAGCGTCACTCCTTCCCAAATCTGTGCACGCCAGGCCTGAGTGGGCTAGCTCGGGACAGGCTACAGAAGTGAAGGCCAAAAGAACACTGGCTGAAGCTGGGGGTGTGAGACCAGTGAAACTCGTCAGTAGATAAGCCACAGGAGGTGGGTACAGCCAGAGCATGCCACAGAAGCCCAGGAGCCATAGGCTGTTCACCCACCAATGATGTCCTTGTAGCCCAGGAAGACATGGATGTTCTGGATTTCCACCCTGCTCTTCACCTGTGATTTTGCTGCATCTCTGAAGAAAGGGAGACAGAAGGGAAGGCATTGAGAGAGCTCAGAGCCAACCCCTCACCTCCAGAGGTCCTTTTGCCTAGGTATATGGGAAATCGGGGCTGTACACCAAGTGCCAGAATTCGCCCTGGGCTCTGCAGATGGGACCAGCAAGGAGAGTCAAGGTTAGCAACAGTAGCATTCCTCCTGAGGATTCCAGAGCCACAGGGCGGTGACAAGACCTCAAAAGAGCTCTCAGGAAAGGGCATGGTATAAGAGGTCTCCGGGCCCCAGACTGAGACAAGGGAACATTTGGGAACCCTCTTTTTCCACAGTCTCAAAAGGCTTCAGAAGAACCAGGGACGGTTTCACCCGCATGCCCACGCTGTGACCCCAGCAATGTCACTGTGCTGCCATTCTCACTAAACTCTTAGCCAGCAATCCCATAATGTCATATTACGCTGGACTCCCCAAAGTTTAGAGCTACTCCTGGAGAAATCCCACATTCCAAACTCTTCCAACCATCCTTCATGGTTCAGTCTCTAGCTGGCTGCACCCATCCTCCTTTCCCCCTCTGGCCTCTCCCCTGCAGCAGGCCGGGTTGCTGCTCCTTCCTTACCTGTGCGGTGCGGTCTGAGCCCTCTGACTTACGGTTTTTGCATCCTGGTGCCACCCAATCACGTTGATATCTTGTGGGACTTTGTTTCCACCCTGGGAGGAATGTGGGGTGTATACAGGACATTGGGGACACAGCACTCCTGTCCACAGCCCTTGAATAAATTCCATGCCATGCTCTGTCAGTGTGACCTGTCCTAGAGAACCCCAGCTAGGGCATAGGAAGGATTCAGAGCTGGAGAAGTAGAAATGTGGTCACACTCGGTGAGTTCCTCAAATCCAGGCAAAGCAAGGGTCCAAAGCCAAGGGATCCATGTTTGACCCAGGCAGAGTCACAGGCACATGTCCTGTCTCTGATGACTTCATCAAGGATGACTTTCATCAAGGATGGAAAGGCAGATGGGCAGCTTTGGAGACTACACATGAAGGACACTTACAGCCCTCTCCTCCCTCTGTTGGGTGGTGTCTGAGTTCTTTTTAGGTTCTCTACCTAAACTGTTGTGTCATCATCCTCCCTTCTTAGAATACTCTTACCAGCTCCCACTGACTGACCAGGGTTCCCAACACAACCTTAGTCCTCCAAGCAACTCTGAGACTGGCATTGTCATGGCACCTACAGCTGACACTGAGATGCCAAATGGTTTAGCCCTTGGTGGCAGTCTCAGTGGTTCATGGGACACTGCAATACAAGGGCTGGGGTTGGGGTTAGGATTATTTCTTGGAAATGTCCCTTAGGAGACAGCAGCACAGGAGCCCAGAGAAGGAAACCAGGATAAAGCACAGAGGGTTGGTGGCTTGGCCTGGGTCAGAGCCAGGCCAGGAAGCCTCACCTTCAAGTTTACTGTCCTGGCTAGCCCGCCCTGTTTGGCCAAGGCAGCTTCCTGGGAATAAGAAGAAGGGTTGGGGCTGCAGGATCTAGGGATTTGGGTGATCAAGGATGGAGACAGCATTATTTGCCCATCACAGACCCAAGCAAAGAGTAGATATTTGCTTCGTTGAGCAGATGACCGAACAAGCCCCACAGAGAGGAGTTGTGGTGATATATTGTTTATGATTTATTAAAGCCACTGGAGATCAAAATAGCAAAGTAGCCACACTAGTTAGCCATAGAAGCCAGGCAGTGGTGGCACACACCTTTAATCCCAGGAGACAAAGGCAGATGGATCTCTCTGAGTTCAAGGCCACCCAGGGATATACTGATTGAATAGATGGATTGATCAGTCTAAAAGAATAACAGAGCTCATATCTTTAATCCCAGGACTCATGAGAGGTATTTAAGACAGTAATAGGCTCTCGGAGCTGGGATTCATTCTCCAGCCACATTGAGGATGGGAAGGTATAGATTGTCCAGCCACGCTGAGGAGCAGCAGCAGTCTGAGGCTTGGTGAGAGCTCATGGAGACAGGATCAGCCCTTTCAGCCTGAGGTAGCGGTAAGGGCTAGTGACTGGCTGCTTTGCTTTTATGATCTTCAGCTTGAACCCCAGTATCTGATTCTGGGTCTTTCATTATTCATGTTATAAGGAGGTGTGGAGTCAGGTCCTCCATGGACACCAGGTTGCATAAACACCTTCTTCCAACTTGACATCCCCCCCAATAACGGGGTCAGAGCCAAGCAGCCACCTGATCTCCACTGACTGAATGGGCCACTCTGGACAACATCAAAGGGCTCTGTTATGTTTCCAAGCACTGCTCTCCACCAAGGGCTTCAGACCCTGGCCCCAAAGAACTAGACAGTCTGTAGAACTTCTCCAAGGGCTACAGGTTAGCAGCCAACATCTATCTGCTGCCCCCTTTAAGGAAAGGCCAGCTCCTGCAAGCCAGGCTGAGAGGGCCCCTGTGCCGACCAGTGACCTCTGGGAGGTCCATGTGGAAGGGGGAATCTGAATTTGAACTTGCCCAGGGAATTGGAGATTTCACAAAGCATGGGTCTTTGGCTTGGGAACAACCACCTCTAGAGATATTTTAAGCCACGATGCTGTGGGCTGTTACTGCCCCTAGTGGAAAGAGTCAAAGATGAAGCTATACACTAGGCAATGCCAGGCTCAGGCTCCTTGCTTCACATTTAAGCCAAGGACTAGAACCCCTGGCCCAGAGGTGGACTAGGACAGAGGTAGGCACAGAGCCCATGGCAGGACTGAGCTTAGCCAAAATGTTGCTCTACAGAGTATGACTGGGGCTCTTCCACCTGTCCTACTCGGGGATCAATGGAGTGTTAGAGCAAGGCCTGTTTCCTAGGGCTCCAAACCTAAACCAAGAGCCAGTGCTCCCCAGAGACTTTACAACCCTGGCCCCAGTCACTCTGGGGTCATCCAAATCCACTTAGACATTGTGAGAGTTTAGCAAATATGTTTCTATTGTAGGAAACATACCAGTAAATTCATTACTTAAAAAAGAAAATTTACTATTTAACCCATTTTGTTTTGTATTTAATTAACTTAATATATATTTTATCTAATGTGTATGAGTATTTTGCATGCATATATGTGCATGCTTTGTGCCCTTAGATGTCAGAAGAGGACATCAGATCCCCTGGAGTTTCAGATAGTTGTGAATGTGGGTGCTGGGAACTGAGCTTGGTCCTTTGCAAGAGCAGCTCGTGCTCTTAGCCAATGGGCCATAGCTCCAGCCCCCATTTAATCAATTTTATTTGTTTATTCTTTTTTGAAACATTAATAGAAACAGTGTCGCTATGTGGCCCAGGCTAGCCCAAATATCATGGCAACCCTTCTGCCTCAACTTCCCAAACACTGGGCTTACAGGTGTGAAGCCCCATGCCTAGATCATTTAACCCTTCCTAAAGCATCCACTGCCTCCGACTGGTGCTAGAGCTTCTCATTGTCCCACGTGGAGCACAGTGGTCACCCTCAATACTTCATTTCATTCCTGCTTAATGAGGTGTTTTTAGTTTAGGTGTGTTTGAGCTCTTATCTGTCTGACCTTTACATGGCGATGCCTTCTGCCTTATTACACACTGCTGCCCGTGTTCGGTTTGTGGCTTTGTCTAGTTCTCCAGGACTTAATCACCCTACTTTCCTTAGACTCCATGATTCAGTTGCATTTTCCTGCTCAGTGTTCATCAACTATATTGATGTTATAACTTACCAGAAATAAAAAGCATGCGTGAGTCAGGTGTGGTGAGCACACTTGTAATCCCAGCACTCAGTGGGGCGAAGTGGGAGGGTCTGAGCTCAAGGAGAGCCTGGGCCACAGAGTGAGACCCTGGGTCAAAAACAGAAAACAAAAACAAAGCCGGTAGCTGTGGTGACAGTGCAGTTAGACAACTTTCAGTAAATCTGCCCCCTCGTATCCTCTGTTGCCATGAAAATTGGAAAGATTTCCTCCCAAGGTTTCCCTGGCATTCAGTGTCCCCATCCTAAGTTCCAAGCAGCCACCAGCCTGTTTTCTGTCACTGTTGACTAGTTTTGCCATCTCTAAGATGTGTGTAAAATGAGCCACCAGGAGGCAGCCTTACATCTGGGTTCGTTCACTTCACGATGGGTTTCTGAAATTCTTGGTTTTGTAGTTCATGAGTGTC